TTACTGACCGTTTTCGGCACTCCGCTTCCGTTTTTCGACTTTTTTTGAAAAATCGTTCAAAAAATCGAAAACGGAGATTTTTCTTTCGTCTAGAGGTTGCTGAATCTTTCCATTTGGAACGAAAACGTCAAACTGATCACGACATTCTCTGCTTCATTTTTGTTTTCCTTTGAGCTAGGTATTTCGACGTTTTTATGCTTTGTTAAGAACCATGGTCAACCATGCTTGATTTCTCAATTAGTTTTTCAATTAGGCCAAGTGCTGCCTTTTTGCCCTGCTCTGATGTTTATGATTGAGTTTTGTCGGCTCTAATTCCTAGTGTTGCATTGTAAACAGAAGTGCTGCAATCCTTTTTTCAGGAGGAACAACGATGCGACGAGGGAAGGCAGACGAAAAGAAAGCGGAGCAGGAGCGGCTTCAAAATATCCTTTTGGACATGCTCAAGGAAGACGAGAACAAATACTGCGCCGATTGTCAAGCAAAGACTCCCAGGTTCGTTCTCCAACAGTGATCGTGTCGAAAAGGTCAGTAAGTTTTTGTTGGACGATTCTTTGTTTAGATGGGCAGCATGGAACTTGGGAGTGTTCATTTGTATTCGTTGTGCTGGAATTCATCGAAATCTTGGTGTACACATCTCTAAGGTATCGTTCGCTTTCTTCTGTTTTCATAGATAATTCTAGTCTACTTGAAGAAAAGTAAATAGTTATTTGGTGCGCGAACGCCATCTCTGGACATGATACTCCCGTCCGCAATCCTGTCAAGGAGCATGTGTCACTTTCGTGGCTACGAAATACGTTATAAGGACGCCACTCATTCCGTTGAGAAGGCGATGCCCCACCCACTGTCCCACCCCGCACCCAACGCTCATTTTCAGAGACTTCTTAAAGGCGTAGTCCATTGCCCTTCCCCGCGGGGATGTGGGGGCACTTTACAAGGCTTTTTCTCCGTTTTTCTAGACTATTGAGCTAAGAAATAATTGGTAATTTATAGTTAATAACTAAGAAATAATTGATAATGATAATTTGTCTCCAGTCTTGGGGTATATACTCGTTTACTTAAGTGCAAACACGAAGTAGCTACATTTTAATTGTACCCGTATATTCATTCTGATCTTCAAGGTGCGGTCTGTGAACTTGGATACGTGGACGCCTGAACAAGTGCAGTCTATGCGAGTTATGGGTAATGAAAAAGCTCGAAAGGTAAACTAGTGTAATATTCGATCAGCACTCTTGAAAGTTTTTGTGTGGCCACATCATGTTTCTAGGTATATGAACACTCTTTGCCTGACCATTTCCGTCGTTCTATGGCCGACCATCAAATGGAACAATTTATTCGTGCAAAATATGAACAGAAAAGGTCTCGTTTTGTTTACTGCTTGGTTTCGAAATGACTGTATGTTCCACAACGTTGTGTAATCAAGCTAAACGTTAAGGTATATGCTGAATGGTTTTGTTTATCCTCGAATAGATGTGAATGATTTACCGAAACCGGGTCAACCAAGCACTAAAAAGAAAGCTTCAAATGCTGCACTTACATCGGTATGCAAGCTTCTCGCTTTTTCATCTTGAGAAATTTTTCGCTTCAGAAAGATTATTTTTCAATATGAATTGCCTTCGGAAGAAAAATTGGTCCTGTTTGTATATTTGTCCTGGGCTATATTTCTCCGAAACCGTTAGGCCAACTTGACAGGTTGACATGAGTGGTCACTTGCCCCCAAAAGCAGGTGGTACGAAAAAGCCCCAAAGATGTACAAATAATACGCCTGCAGAGCGAAATTCGGACCTCCGAGTAAGCGGGGAGTGGCGCCTTTTTCAAGGAAGGTACCTCTAAACCGACCGGGGTGCCCTGGCCTGTTGCCCTCCCACCCGTGGCCCTCCGATCGCTATGTTGAATTTCAGCATCAGTCGGGCAAAAGTCCGAATAATGCTGAAATTCGATCGTCGTATCGTCTGCGGTGTTGCATAGATATATGAGCAGTACCATAGCATTTATTGGCACGATGCCAGCAAGGAACTCGTCCGAAATTGCTTTCTGAGTTGTGTAGAACAAAGGTTTTTGCAGGTTTTGACCGTTTCACTTCGCTTTTTCGCCATTTTCCCCACTATATAGCACCCCTGCTACATTTTGGACCGAGTACCAAATTATCGTGCCTTGTGCCTTTGACCTCAATGGACCCATTACTGTTTGCAATCTTTACGCTTTCTCTATCTTACGCTATATCCCATCTGACTACTTGGACGATTCACTCGCATGACTATGGACGACCGCGCTTCTCAACTAGCTGTATTATCACTGCAAGGGACCGAAGAGAATTCTCTTCTGAAGCCTTTAACGGTGGACACAGTCGGTCATTTGCGAAGTGCTTGGCTGAATCAC